AAACGTACCATGGGCGCCGCCGCCCCCAACGGCCTGGACCCCACCACCCTCCTCCCCCCCCCCCCCCCCTTCCAAATTGCGCACATATAACGCGGACGAAGCTATCACAAAAGACGAATAATAGGTACGAAAATCTCTTGCCTTTCCCGGCAGGCAAAAAGATGGTTTCTGGAAATTAAAGAAGAGCGCTAGCTTTGTGACTATGGTCCCACGGTTTCCACGGATGCTCGGGAGGAGATGTGTTTTTTTTTATATTGCCACCAGTAGGAAGGCGTTCTTTTCTCTCATAGGTACGCATATGCAGTGTATACTACTTTTCATAGTGTTATTGATATTCCCCTTGAGTCCATTGCTCACGACTCGCCAAGACCGGCCCCCATGCTGAATCTCTCGGCCGATCTCAATCATCACAGGGCCCGGCCTGTCATCGGACCAGCACACGGGGCCACTCGGACACGGGCACACCTCTTTTTTCGAACCCCGCATATTGGGGGAGACCATTCAACCTCAAACATTGCACACTTTCAGCCTCCAGGGCTTCGGGAGATCAGGGGCCACGGCAGTCTCCGAAAACAATGTGAAGAATTGATGCCCCCCTTGTCCCCTTGTCCCCTTGTCAGGTACTATTGCGGCTGCCCGCTGCTGGAGCACCTGTCAAGAAAAGGCCGGGGGTGGGGTGTGGATGTTATTTGTTCATGTTGCTGCTAGTCAGCCGCAGTCAATTTGTCACAAGCAAAAAAAAGAAGTACATCTTGCAAGAAATGGAAAGTACTCTACAGCAACATTGAGATTTCGGCCGGGACTCGATTTTGCTGCCCGGCATGCCGAACGAAAGTTGACCGACCACCCTCGTCGGGGTCTGTGTGTCTATTACATCAAACCCGATATAGGGTCCTGTCACAATTCGACTGCAGCCTAGCCAGGCTGGCCGGGCTGGGCTGCTTGTTTCAAGCCCAACGGTGTTTTGGATGGATTGTCGTCGAAATATCACTCAGTCGCGAGAAAAATAGGAAAAAATTGGGGCCGGTGGTTGACCTGAAAACCGGCGGTCAAAACTCTAAGTTCGCGTCCCCCGATAGCGATTAGGGGTGATTCTGTATGTACTTGATGCAAGGCGCCGTTGACAGAGCACAATGGGAACAGACGCACGTCCAGATCAGATAATCAGTTCATGTGTTCGGTCCTGCTGGAAAGGAGGTCGCGTGTTCTACGCTGTTGGGGATGGATCGTGTGGAACGCGTGCCTTGGCTACGTACGACCGGCGCCGGTAGGGAAGAGCTAATGAGGAAGCCGGCGGTGGCGGAGGATAATGGAGAGGGGGATCCGCCGCGATCGGGATGACGGACGTTGACGTGTGAACAAACACGATGCCCCGTACCACGGCGCACAGAACAACGGCGCAGGCGAGGCAGGGCAAGGCAAGCAAGCTGGACGGACGGGACTCACTCCAGGGTTGGGCATGTTGCGATGTCGTTGGAGATCCGATGTGTGTAGATGGCATGCAGATTAGGTGAACAAGTCATCAGGCCAGGCACAGACGGGACGAGACGGGCATCGTCATCGGGCGAGTGTACGCATCGGGCCATGTTTCCGGATCGAAGGAGAGAGGAAAGAAGGGTTCGAAACGTGGTGTTCTCAGCAGAGTTTTGGCCCTGTGTGTCTCTCTTTCCTCTATTCCTAGTACTAGGTATCCCTATCCCTATCTCTCAGACAATGGAAGCCGACCTGAGCTTCGATGGAAGCCCTGTGCCTCTACCCAAAACAACATGACAAGAAAAAGGAGGCTCTCGGGCAGGCAAACCCTGGTGAGACCGTTCAAGCTGCTCGGAGTCAGGGTCGGCAGCTATGCAGTACTAAGTAGTGCCTTAGACGCATACCGCAGGAAGCTAAGCACATGTGGCCCAAAACGGCGGGGTGTGCGGTTGGATCCGTTCGGCGGTACTCTGGTGGGCTCTCCAGTCTTTCACGAGTGTGAATCAATCACATTTTGGGACCTGGAAAGAGATCCCAATTCCCACTTTGATGGATCTTGGCATCAGCGGGCGACGGGCGGACAGGGGGGCCGGGGTTTAGTTAGTAACTTAGCTACGTATTAACAAGGGCAGCACCGGCAACACCAGCACCAGCACCATCACCAGCTAGCAGCCCTGGGAGTACTTTGTAGTGAGTGTAGCAGCAGCAGCACAGAGCAGCATGCCGCCCCTCCCTTTGCCCTGGACCAGGCGAATGGCGCCGTCCCCAGAGGGGCCGGAATAGCGCCGTGCGGTCCCTGACTGTGGCTCTGTGGGTGACTTGCACTGCTCACTCTGTAAAGCAGGAGCCAGGTGCAGGAACAAGGTACTTTCCATTTCAGATAGCTTCCAAAATAGCATAGCACCACCACCAAGCAACCTGGAGCAGGAGCAACAGCATCACCTAGCAGCTGCAACACGGGTGCACCGAGTCGAGTAGCTGCTGATGCTCGCAGCTCCCTACCTTAACGGACCTGACGACATGGAGGAGACATGGAGACATGGAGACATGGTCATGATGTTTCACGGCCGACTGCGGGCGGCACCTTCCCAACCCAAGTCGGTGGACACGACACGACACGACACAACAATCACATATCTTTCTGATGGACTCCTCCTTTAAGGCGCACCGCCGCCCGGACTGCTCCTCATCCGATGTCGACGCTGCCTTGATTGGGTCTTGAACATCCCATCGTCTGCTTCCCCCGCATATACACACCGGCCACGAGGGCATGTAGGTTCTCGAATTTCTCGAAGGGCACGCCATCCAAGACTCACCTCATCCAAGACGCGTGCATTCCACCAGCCAAGCACTCCCACGCCAGACTTTGACAACGACCACGACGACACCACAATCTTCTCCGACACAGCAGCACCACCAGCACCGAGTATCGCACTTTCACAGCCACTCAGCTACGCAGCCGTGGCAGCCTCAACCAGTCATCACGCCCTACCACTCCGGCCATCCACCTCTCTGCAGATCAAGAACAGGACAAGACACGAGCAGACGAGACACCACACACGCGGCGCACAGGAGCCTCCGGAGCATTCGCACTCCAAAACATAACGCAGGTGCTTTCAGTCACCATTGGTCGCGAGCAAGCCGCACATCAGCTGACTCGGCCGGCCATTCCCTAGGTTCTCCTACCTACTGCGCGCACTTACCAAACCGTCTTGACGCATATCGCATACGTCTTTCGCCCCCTCGACTGTCTCTTCCCCGCATTTCACAGGCACCACACCATTCGCCGCACCGCACGGCACCTCACGCGCGCAACGGGTGGGATAGCTGAACCAAGCCAAGGGGGAGGGGGGGACCACCAGCACCACCGCTGCCCTGCCGCTGCCGCCGCCGACCGCGACATACACCTGGCACCCACCATCCACGGACAGGACAGGACAGGCAGCTCCAGTGCAGCTCGAACAAGCAAGCATCCACGCATCGCATCGCATCCATCGGCATCCACCCAGCCCTCCGTGCCTCCGAACCTACCTTTGACACCGGCACCATCCACACCCAAGTTCCCGTCGAACCCTACCTACGCCTTAGCTCCGTCCCCTTGCTGGTGAGGGGCTGAGGAGAGAGAGAGAGAGAGGAGACGGCGTCACGGCGAGTGGACTCTGGCTACCGACCGGGGGGAGGCTGGGCCCTGGACTGACTGGGACTCATTCCTTGCCTTTGCTTCCCGAGTCGATTTGCGGTCGGTGCGTGCTGCTCGTTCGCTTTGCTTCAACCACCACACTACCTACCTATTCGTACCAACCACAAATCCTCGACTCCACCGCGAAATCTCTCGCTCAAATCCTTTTGACGTTCGGCAGCCCCCTGTGACGACCTACTTGTCTGCACCGTTCCCCCTCGACCCTTTTCCTTCTCATTGCGTCATGTTCAAGTGATGGACGACACAGATTCTGCGAGAAATGCTGCGAGCAGAGCGGGCTCTGCAGAGGTCAAGGCCGAGTCGCCAGGCGCAATCAGCAGCAGCAGCAGCAGTCGACACCAGCATCATCAGCAACAGTCAGCACCCGGAGCATCGTCTGCGCCGCCAAAGAGGACAGTATGCGACCACTGTCGAAGGAGAAGTACGCCCATGTTCTGTGCCACCTCCCAGTCAACTTCCGTGCCCCGTCTACCATCGTCGTTATTGTCGGGCATTTCGATCTGATTTGCCTTGCTTTTTCCTTACCCTCCCCCTTCGGCCGTCGCATTCATGAACTTTCGTGCGATCCTACCTCTTCCCAGCAGCCTGCCTCCGGGACAGTCAATTTGCCGTTTTCATGGTACCAACCCGCCTTGAGCCGCTGCGTTGCTGCACGTCATCATGATCATCACTCTACCAACACCCATCACATACCTCAGTCACTGTCAGCATCTTGGGATTTCATGTCTCTCAACCCCTCACCCCCGCCGCTGCTCTCTCCATCTGCGCAAGACAAGGCATCGTACTGACAGTATACAGGAATACGATGCGATGGCAAGTTTCCCTGTGAGCAATGCGTGCACGCTTCTCTCACTTGCAAGCGCGATCATGTCCCAAAGAAGAGGGGCCCGAAACGCGGGCATGGGAGGGTGATTAATGAGCTGCGCGCCAAGGAGTCGTCGCAAACGCACCCGCAGCAGCAGCAACGCCATCACCACCAACCAAACCAGAGACCGTTCAACGGAGAGAATGCCCTCGAGAGCCCTACAGAGTATGTGCGGCGTCGCTTATCAGCAGCTTGCCCGCCGCTGAACGTGGACAGCGTCGACATTGGAATGAGCGGGAGCGACATTGGCGAAGCCGCATCGCATGAGCACTCGTCCAACGCGTCCGCAGCATCGACCCCGCCGAGCTTTTGGGCTGCCGTCACCTCGAATCCCGCACACAGCCAGGTCCCGGAACCCAGGGGCATCTTCTCGAGCGACGAACTCCGGCCGAGGACGCGGAACTACTTCCACATGATCCCCCAGCTGATCGAGCTGTACTACGAGCACATCTACCCCATCATGCCTCTCATCTACATGCCCGCCATGCGCGAGACCATCAACCGCCCGATGCTGACCTCGAGCGAGAAGAACCTTGTCTATGCCATGTGCGCCCTTACTTCGATGCACATGTCCGGCAAAAGCATAGGCGCCCCAGGGCCCACATCATGGGAGGTAGTCGGCCGCTTCTTCCTGGACGAAACAATCTCGACAAGACAGTCGTACGACTTTCTTGAGGATTTGTCGCTTTCCGCTGTTATTTCGTCATTTTACCTGAGCACATCCTTCTTTGAGATCAACCAGTCGCGGAAATCGTGGTACTACCTACGGGAGGCGTTGACGAACGCACAGGATCTAGGACTGCAGGACGACTCGACGTACTACGGGCTAAGCCGGGAGGAGACACTATGTCGGCAGAGAGTATTTTGGATTCTCTTCGTTACAGAAAGGTTAGTTCCAGTCGCTCATCCCAGTCCCGCGTCTGTTCCAGCAAAGGCGTATCGCCGAAAAGCCCGTGGCACCTGCTAACGCGCCGGCCCCTCGACTGCAGGTCTTTTGCGATCTTGCGCAACAAACCGATCACATTCAAGAGGACACCCTCTCTGCCGACGACGCGACACCCATACGAGGCGCCGGACATTCACGCCGGCTTCCTGCAGCTCGTTTCATCGTACACACCTCTCGACGAATCGTTCGTGACCGCATGGAACGAGGGGTCCGATCCCCGCGTCAGCGCGACAACCTTTTTGGCGCTGCAAAACCTTCTATCCCTCCCTCCCGCGTTCCTCCGACCGCGGAATGCGCGGGGGTCGCCGCCATCGCAGCACCAACATCAGCACCAAGGGCAATTTGTCGGGTCGTTTGGAGCGGCGTCCGCCAGCCGAGATGCGGGCGGGCCGGAGCCGACAGACATCCAAAAGGCGGACCTTTTGATTACGCAGCAATGGTTGCGGCTGATTGTGTGGCAGTCCTCGATGCGACAGGGCCTGTTGAGCTGGACAAACCCGGCGGACTCGAGTGGGCCGTCTAGCAGTGGCGTGGGCGGCGGAAACAGCATGTGCTTTTCATTTCCCCTCACGGTCGCCCGCGACACGGCGTCGATCCTGGCTAGTTTGCCGAGCAAGGCTGTCGAAGTGCACGGGATGGGCATCATGGAAAAGATTTTCGAGATTGGCACATGGTGCGTAAATGTGCTCGGTGCCTGCGAGAGCGTCGGATTCCAGACGGCCATGGACTTTACTTCGGGTGAGATGGGTGTGCTGGGCAGTGGGAGGAAAGGAGCGAGCCTGGACCCTATTGAGTTCTTCATCAAGACGCTCAGCGCAAGCGACAACTCCAGAAAACAGTTTGCCGACAAGCTGCTTACAGCCGCCGGCGAGAACCCAGGGAGTATGAGGACGCAGCTCAGCCCGGCCATGTCTGCCGTGGGTTCCGTCGCCGCGGCGATGATGGCAGCGCACAATCAAGCACACGGCGTGATGGAGGCCCCAGGGTGGGGGCAGCAGAGGGGGACCGTCGTCGGAGAGGTGTTCGACGAGAACGAGGAGAATAACGGTAACCAGCCCGTCCTCGACCTGACCGGCCCTCCGATGCACCACCAACAACCGGGTATGCAGAGTATGGGGCTGGGCATCGATCTCGGCGCCGGGGAGATGGGCGGCATGGGTGGAGTTGAGATAGACGCCAACAGCGTCGACCTTATGAGTCCTCTCGGACTCACCCGAAGCAACTCCGATATGGCGGGGATGGGTATGGGATTTGAGGCTGCGTGGAGCCCAGGCAGCGGCGGCACCGGCCCAAGAGAATATCCCGATCCGGGACCACCACCCGGGTACGCTACCCACGCTACCCACCGCGAAGGATACCCGGACTTGGGCAACGGGATGATGATGCACGAGCGCATGGCGACCGGCGGGGGTCCCGTAGGAGGCCCGCCGCAAGGCCCCGGCGGTGGCGTCGACGGCCCGAACATGGGCGACCGACAGCAGCAAGCACAACCACCACATCAACCAGGACAAGGCGACAACGCGCCATACGACAACAGGAAACGTGGGGACAAGGGCGGCGGATACCGGAACGGCGGCATGGTCGGTGTTTGGTAAGGGTCATCAAAAACGTTTTGCCAGCGGATTTCAGCAGGCGGTTCGGGCCGGTTCGTTTCTTTATACAATACCTCTCTCTTCACACACATCTGGTCTAGCAAAATATCGGGGAGCAGTCGGTCGGTCGGTCGGGCGATGTCAATGGCGATGTCATAAAAACAATCTAGGGAGGAATCTTCTTCCGGCGGCTATGCAAGCATTTCTGGGCGGGGGGCATCTGCGTGTACTCTTATTCACCAAACTATCGGTCCAGTGAGACCTGATCTGGTTGAAGTAGATCTAAGCGACATGTTTTGTTAAGTGTATACATGTATCACAAGGGTGATGAATAAACGTGGACGCGTCAAAGATCAACCTTGTTGTCACTGCTGAAGTCGTTCTGCTGATGCTGGGGAACTTCTTAACTCATGGTACGGCGGCCCCATATCTCCGAAGTGGATCGCCGTCTCGGCCGACGGTGCGCCGGGTGTGCGGCACGTTCGTTGCAGGATCGATATGTTGGAGTCTGATGCAGCTTACGTGGTGACTCCCAGCACTCCACGATTGATAAGACGGGTGACTCGATGGCTGACTGCCTTTTCAAAACGGGAACCCTGCCTTTATGGGCAAGATAAATTTGAGTGAGGATATTTGTCCATTTAATTCGCGACATTAAGTGTACTTGCCTCTGTCAAACTTTGAGCAGCACCAAAAAGCGTCTTGAGGAACAGAACCAACGACTGCATGAGATGGCAGATTTATTGTCTATCCCGCCCCAGCATCACACCATCCTCAGAACCCCGCGTCTATGTCTTCGGGCCGTGAGGGCGGGGGATCTGGCGGCTGTGCATGGGATGAGGGTTGATGCGGCGGTGATGCGGTACATGTAAGTACGCACGCCTTCCTCTTCTCCCCCTTTCTCTCTTTAATGCAGGACCCAGAGGAGCGGACACATCCTTCGGAAGTGATTCAGCTAACGGGAGCAAAGGCCCGGCGTCGAAACGGAGCTCGTGGCGGAGGAGTCCCGGAGTGTGGAGAGGATTAGGATGATGAAGCCGGGCATGTTTTCGTTTGCGGTGGTTCTACCTTTACCCGCACCCTCTATCTTTCACTCTTCGACTTCTATCGCTCGTGAAGAGGATGAAGAGGGGGGAGGGCAGGTCATTTGGGTCCGTGGGGATCACTTCGCCCCCACAGATATTCTACATTTTTGCGCGTGAGTCGTGGGGGATGGGATACGCCACGGAAGCTTTGAGGGCGTTTTTGGAGGAGTATTGGGAGAGGTTTCCGGGCGGGCTGAAGACTGAGGCAGATTCTGGGGCGCACGGAGTGGAGAAGAATGAAGGGGGAGATTTCCTGGAGGCGCATGTTCATGATGGGAATGTAGGCAGTGAGAATGTTCTGCGAAAGTGTGGGTTTGAGGTCGTCCGGGAGGGAAAGACGACGGCGCATGGGGTCGAAGTCGGTACACAGATTTACCGGCTGAACCGACCCCAGTAGACATGGACAGTACATAATAATTCACGTAGAACTTTGCTTGATGTTTGCGAGGCCTTCGAATGATCCTTCTATATTTTGATATCCCGCCCAATTCGTACCTAAAAAGTCAAGTCTATGCCCAACGCCAGCCTATGTATACCAGGTGGATGTCCCATCCCGTCGTACGAAGATGTATGAGGGGGTATCAAGATGTAGCAACAGCTCAAAGATGGGGAACGAAAGCAAACTGCCGACTCATCGCCCTAAACACATATCGTGATCGTGAGAGACGCCTTAATCTCTGCCGCCGCGTCTTCCACGGTTGCCGCGACCACCGGAACCGGCGCTGCGGCCCTCGCCGCCACCGCCACCACCACCCCCGCGTCCGTGACGACCCTTGGGGGCATCAGGCACAACGACCAGGCCTCTGGTGCCGCGCAGACCCATCTTACCGACGGTGCTCTTGCCAATGGACGGCGTCTCGGGGCATCGAAGGGCATCGCGGGCGAAGACGTTGCCCTCTGAGACGAGGTCCTCCTTCTCCCACTTGAGCTGCTTCATCCAATTCTTGTAGTAGCCGAGCCAGGCTTGGTAGATCTTAGCCTTCTGCGCCTCGTCAATGCGTTGCTCCGCGATGTTGTACACCTGCTCTGCCGAGGAGAGGTCGGCAGCGCGCTGCTCAAAGTTGATCTCCTTAAGCTGCCAGCGGGGGAAGAAGTCCTCGAGGTCGGTGACGATGAAGATTCCGCGACCCTCGGCACCGGCGCGAGCTGTACGGCCCAAGCGGTGGATGTAGGACTCCTTGTCTGCGGGGATGCCGACCTGGAAAACGGAGGTGACGCCGGGGAAATCCATGCCGCGGGCAATGACATCGGTGGCGACGAGGACGCCCGTCTTGGCGTCGCGGTAGTCGTTGGTGATCTTGGTGCGCTTGCCTTGCGAGATGCGGGAGTGCAGAACCGAGGCCTGCGGCATGCCCGGCATGTTGGCAAGGATGTCTCCGTAGAAATCTGCCAGGGCGGCAGTCGGTGCGAAGACAATCGCCTTGAAGCTGTCGGGGCCGACGAAGGCAGCCTCCTCGCGAATGGCGCCGACCATAGCGGGCGCAACAGAGGCGAAGGTGGGGACCTTGATGAGATGCTGAGGAACACGCTCGTGGGTGTTGGCCTCACCAGCAGGGATGGTGGAGATGAACTTGTAGCCAGGGGAGAGGACGAGGCCTGCTACTTGCTGGACGTGGGAGGCGATGGTGGCGGAGAAGAGCATGCCCTGGCGGTTCGTCTTGGACTTATCAGGCAGGGCGCGGACAATGTCCTTCAAGGCAGGCATGAAGCCCATGTCGAGAAGACGGTCTGCCTCATCGAGAACCAAGGTGTCGAGGTTGCGGAAGGAGTCCTGGATGTACTCATTGGCCATGTGGTCGATCAGGCGGCCTGGCGTGGCGATGAGAATGTCGCAGCCCTGGAGGATCTGCTTCTCTTCACGGTCCTTGTTCGTACCGCCAATGGCGATGCAGACGCGGTACTGGCGAAGACGCTGCAGGAGGCCCTCGGCTTCCTTGGCGATCTGCATGGCAAGCTCGCGAGTCGGTGAGATGACCAGCAGGGAAATGCCACCCCCGCGGCCGCGGTTCTGGGTGAGAAGGGTCTGGATGGCGGGGAGCAGGAAGGCGATGGTCTTTCCGGTACCTGTCTTGGCCTGGACCAGGCAGTCGCTGCGCTTGGGAGGGAGGAGCTCATCGAGCGTGGCGGCCTGGACGGGCATCATGTGGTCGAACTTGAGGTCCTCGGTGATGGCCTGGACGAGGGACTGGTGGACGCCGACCATATCGGCGAATCTCGGTGTGTCCTTGGGAACGGCCTCGGTGAGGGGTGGTGTAGCCGTCTGGGGAATGATTGAAGCCGGGCCTGGCTGAGGTCTCTGCTCGCGCTGCTCCTGGTCCTGGTGCTGCTGGTGCTGGCGACGGCCACCAGATCTGGGGTTGTCATTGTTGCCGCCTCCGCCTCCGCCTCCGCGGCGATTGTCGCGTCTGGGGTGACGACGGTTGTTGTTGCCTCTTCCGCGCTCCATCTTGATGTATGTTTGTCTGGAAGATTGGATTCGTGAGGTGTTGTTTTCTCACGGCGAGGGAATCTAGACCGTGATTGTTGTTGATGTGAAGGGGGAAAATTTCCCAGTGACGACAGGGAAGTTGACGAAACTGGTCTGGTCTGGGTTTAGCGTCGAGCGATAAGCTGCGCCGGGAGGTGCCGATAAGGAAGGTTTTAGGGGTTCATCCTTCACCGCCTGCCCCACCTGCCCGCCGCAGTGGATACGGGGACGTTACTGCCCCGCGAGTTTCTTTCGGCAGCATCGTTTCAGGTGCACTTCTTCCATGCGTCCGTTACATTACAGTGTACTCAGGGCCGTACATCATTCCAATCTCATCTCAGCTTTTCTTCATCCCTCGATGTGACTGAGACTGTCATCTCATCTCACTGCTGCCAGAGACGCACACCAAGTTGAATCATGACAGACGTCTGTCAAATCATGCACCCAAACGACAAGCCTTCTGTAGTGGGGCGCTGACGCTTTCATCCCCACCCCGACACTTCAGCGTTTGTGCTGGCAACACTGGACGAACGACAATGATGACAAGCTAGTGATATTTAAGACCGTCTTCAACTTGCAATATACATACATGATCATGTTCTATTCCGGATTCAACTTTTCCCCTATCTTAGCCATCTAGGGAAGACGCTGCGCCCCGAGATCTTAGTCCGAGGGCACCCGAACATGTCCCGAACCGATCACACTTCTCAGTCGCGAACACCACCTAGACAGATTCAGTAGCGTTGGTCGCCTCGAACATTCGCCTAAATGCCAAGGAAGATGCAGGCACGCATGTCCAACCAGCCAAGCTGCCCTACGCGCCTCAACGAAGGCTCATCTCGCCACCCAATCATGAGCCACCTCGCAAACGTGGACGTCTTGGGGGCGCCAACAGCAGCATGTGCTCCCCCATGCCCACAAAAAAACAATGTCATCCGCCTTGTCCCAACGTGACACAATCGCACACCAACGAGTTAATCCGAGGCCCGGAATAAACCTGTGAGACGCGTTCTGCATGCTGTGCCACCCTGGAGCAGATAATTCCGGCCGTTGTAGGGCCAGATGGTGCGCGTCACCTGTATTGGTGTGTTAGTCACCCCCTGTCTTTGACCATTTTCGTGATGATAAGCCACAGCCGCCTGTTGGTCCTCTTTGAAGAGCACTTGGGCGCTTCGCTCAAACGATGGGACTCATAAGCAAGGGATGCCCGTGTGTTTCCTTGAGAATGCGAAATAGTTGTGCATACAAAAAGTAGCTCTCCTCTCAACGCATCGCATTACGTCGCTGGCTTTCTCGTCCTCTCGAAATCACCAGATTACATGGAAGGTGACAAGTTACAACGCGTATCACTCCCCAAAGCTACATACCACGGTATCTCATAAAGCTTCTCCTCGATCGGTACGTCTCCCAACATTTGATCGATTCCCCCCAAATGACGATTTTTACTCATAGCCTTTCAGGGCATCTTCAAAGGCCCACTGTAGTTGTAAACAAGCAAAGCAATCGCATATTTCAGGTTTACGGGCGACGGCTGCGGTTTCCAGCATGGGAAACATCAGATTAAGGTCAAGAACAGACGATGAGCTTGATAGAATGGCTCAATATCGGACATCTTCTACAGCGATCCTGCTCGACTGGATTCTGTCTACATCGAGGTGGCTGATATGGCTCTGCTTCAGCTGGACCACTTCAAGCGCTTTTTTCACCATCTTCGTTCTCGGGTTGCCGTTCGGTCGACAATTGGAAGGGGCATTGCGTCTGGTGTATCACGTCATCAGAATGGAACTCGGGCAAACATACGCCACTTTTCCCCAGGGAGGGGGCACCGTCATGCACAATCGGTCAAAGCTACCACAGCATTGTTGAAGCTAGGAACGCCTTGTGGTATGCGAGATTGTTTGCAAGTTAACCACTGGAGACTAATATCTGTTTATGAAATCTGCTTCTATATGCCTTACATATATATATCGCCTGGTCTGATCTAAGTTGTTTATGCCCGTGGGCTACGCCGGCGTGCTTGCAGACAAAGGCTTCGGATAAAGCACATTTTACGGTTGATTTGATACTAATATCACTGTAAATCATTCTATGTTCCCATCAATGTGTTTACGCAAGTATCATTTGCATCTTTCATCTTCACTGGTACATGGTGTTTTGGACTTTCCCCGACGTCGGAGCGTTAGCGGCGCCTTGCCGATGACACCGAACCAATCAATCTCGAGGTCTTGGCAGATCATGTCTTGAGGTATTTCACTCTTCAAAATCGGTCTGTTCATTCTCTTGGCTCATGGAAGTAACACAATGCCCACATAGCCATTGACGAGATCATTCGGATTTCAACATACATCATGGAAACTCAACACCAAAGCACCGAGCTCCACAGATTGGGCCAAAACGATCACGAACCTTCACCTGATTCCACCATCGGAGAGCAAGAGACAGCCATTGGGATCGAACAAGCATCACTGCCTCCCGCTGATAGAGGCAAACAGGCATGGCTGGTCTTGGCTGGATGCTCATTGATACAAGTCCCTGTATGGGGTGAGTCACTCCTTGTACACCTTCGGAGCACGGCAATTGACGATGCCTTAGGTTACTCTCTCGCCTTTGGTGTATTCCAAGAATATTACGGCAGCCACCCAAACGAGATTGATGGTGATGTCAGCAACATAGCTGTGATTGGCACTACAATGACTGTACGTTGAAGTCGAGAAACAAAACCTTCAACATGTGCTGATGAGTGCAGGGTATCATGTACCTGATCTCGCCTTTCACGTTCACCATCTTGAGCCGATGGCCCCGTTTGCGCCGCTGGTTCGGTCCCCTCGGGCTGATTTTATTAGTCGCTGGGTTTCTCGTGTCCTCTTTCGCAACCAAAGTGTGGCAATTGATCGCAACGCAGGGCGTGGTTTGCGCTGTTGGCTGTGGACTCATGTTCACTCCCACAACCCTCTATCTCGATGAGTGGTTCATCAAACGAAAAGGACTGGCGTACGGAGTCATGTGGGCCGGAAAGTCCGCAGCTGGGGTTGGAATTCCCTTCGCTATGGAAGCGATGTTACAACGATTCGGACCTGTGACCACGCTTCGGGCATGGAGTGTCGCAACGGTATGAGACGTTTGCCCTGGAGACCTTGAAATTCATGGCTTGCTCACATAACGACAGGTGCTCTTATCAGCACCCCTCATCTACTTCCTCAAACCTCGCGTCCCTCTCTCTCAGTCTACCGCCGTCCGTCGAATCAGCCTTAACTTCATTTACCTTCCCTCCTTCTGGATGCTGCAGATCGGCAACATTCTGCAATCTCTCGGCTACTTCCTCCCATACACCTACCTCACCACCTACGCCGTTCAGCAACTCCACGTCTCTACCATCATCGCCACCGCTCTTCTTGTCCTGATCAACGTCACCTCCATCCCGGGTGGCATCGTCATGGGCAGTCTTGGCGACCACCTACGCGTCACTACAGTAATCCTCATCTCCACGATCGGCTCTGCTTTGGCTGTGTTTCTGTTCTGGGGCTTCTCAAGCCACACAGCGCTGCTGGCTGTCTTCAGCATCACATACGGCTTCTTTGCCGGCGGTTTCAGCTCCACGTGGTCTGGTGTGCTCTCGGAGCTGAAAGCTCAGAGCCCGACGCTGGATACTGGGTTCATCTTTGGTTTGTTGGCTGGTGGTAGGGGTATTGGAAACGTAATCAGTGGACCGCTGAGTGTGGCCTTGTTGACTGGTGGTGATTGGGTCAGAGATGGGAAGAGTTGGGGATACAGTGGTGAATACGGGGGTATTATCTTATTCACGGGACTGACGGCAGTATTGGGAGGCTGGGGTGCTCTGTCAAGAGTAAGGTGGGTGTTTATTAGATGAGTCGGCCTGATGATTAGAATACGGTCTGCTTCTGAAATAGTTATCACAAAGATTCACGGATCACTCTCATGATATTAAGCACGCTTATGCATTGGCTCATGTCAAACTCTATGTTCGTTATGGTCTTCCTAGGCGGTAAGATGGCTTCAATCCCATCTTCAACTTCAATTCACTAACAATGTTGACAGTAAGACTATTATCTCCCATGGCAACGTTTCCAGCGTGATACAACCAGTCTGCCCGAGGACGCTACAGTCGTAGTCGGAACACTGTCCCTTCCGGTTCCGATTCTCATCGTTCTGGGGTCCTCAATGGCTATATTCCCAATCGCCCTTTCTCGGCGAAGCTTGCCAGGATCTATGCCAATAGTGGGGTCGAAGTCACTAGCGATAATGGCAGCATGTAGAGTTTCACTTTTATCCAAGGTCCCCAGAGCCAACGACGACGATAATGAGCCAAAGAATGAGCAAAATACAGAGATTGAAGAATTTGTACCAGAATCAAGTATGGATAAAAACAACGGAAGCGCGATGTAAAATTTAGTTCTGGATAAGAATATTCCGCTTCACTTGCTGAAATGGGGCGAGGTTGATATGCCAGATGAGTGGTATCGTCGAGTTGAATGAAGATGTCGGACAACAGAGAGCTTCAAACCCTGTGGTTTTGGAACCACGCTCCAGTTGAGGGGCGTTGGTATATGCAAGCGGGCATGGATTAAGGTGGTTCGCTGACGCAAGACGGGCTGGCTTAATTTACGTGGGATGCTGAAAAGCTGCTTTGTACACTGGCGCTCTTGAGCATTACTTATGCTGTGCAAAATCTCTCCCAGCAGGAACCGGGTCATAGAGGAGAGGCTATGAAAGTGCCTCTGCCATGGAAACGGAAGTGCGGTCTAACACAGAAAACAGTGGCAATCGCTGCGAGCATTTAGCAATCACATTAAGTTGCCTCTCCCATGAACTCAACAGGCCCGTTCTCGTCAACGCCTTGTGCTTACAAAGCCTCGAGAAGTCTTGATGCTCCATCTCTATTAGAGATGAACACATGGTCTGGGTGAGTGCGCTAGCGTCATAGGAAATGAAAGTAAAAGTCAGAATGTCTGTTTAGAGTACAGACATTAAATGCAGCTCCTCAGAATCGTCATCTGATGCATTTCTTACTTCCTCTGTCGAATCTATACCTGGAATGCCCCGAAACAGATTTCCAAGGGGTCATCTTACAAGCAAGGAAATGCCAGAATACCTACAGTGGGCAATAAGCTGTTGGGGACATGAAAATCTTGTTCATCGGTCGATTCCCACAAACTCGGGGGTTAGTTGCCATTTTCAGCAATGCTCGGGCCGTGGAGCTCGGCCAAGACCCGACAGCCCTGGGGCCCCTCCCCTTGGGCACCGCAAATCTTTCTTCCCTTCTAAGCCAAATACCTCACCTTGTTGGTTCGCATCTGGCTGGTGTCTGGTAGAGCACACCTATTCTACTGTTTTGCACGCTTAGCGGGCTCTGTTTCGAGTCTGCGCCGCTTGTTCCAGTTCGAAAGCCCGCACTGCAATTGGGTACGTACGAGGAAGTGCAGAGTGATGAGGCGTTTGGTCGGTATAATGCCAGGCTTGGGAAATGACTGTGCTTCTCAAATGCTGTAGCAGTAGGAGCTGTAGTACAGAGTCAAGACCACTGCCTTTAAGGCACTGTGATAAGATTTGATCTGCGGACTATGGGGCACGAGAATCCTGGGGAACCTAAGAACAGGCATGGACAAATTCAGGAATGAAGAGGGGACCAATGAAGGTACAGAAAGCAGATCAAATTCATTAGTAGGAATTAAGTCTCTCAGTAGGGATTCACGCTGTGAGCGACGTGCTGCGGTTATCACTTTTGCCAAGCACCACAGTACAAGTGCATTCGCTGACGCCACTTTCTTGGATAAATTCTTTTCCACAGATGGAATAGTCAGGGCGGTCTTGGTGATCAATAGCAGAGGACAATGTTACTTCAGTGTTCTCCTGTGCCCCTTTCTTTCCACACCACCCATCCAGCACGCCATCCTCTCCTTGCTGTCTGTCTTCCTTTAGGGACCAGTAAGCAGAAAAAGGCCTTCGTTTGGACTGCTCAATGACGAAAGACATCATCTATGCTACCTTCAACAAGTACTGTCACGCCCGCAATCGTTAGCCACAACATTTCAACTCTTCACATGCGATAACAGGAATGTGGCATTACTCGAAGTATGTATGCTAATGTGGCAACTTTTTCCATTGTGCTGTAAATTAATGCTATGTGGGAGGCTGCAGGGCAATTACTTTGGCCTGCCTCACACCAGACTGTCACCCATTGAAGTGATTTGTGGTTCGCCCCCATTCATCATTGAGAACAGACGAGGGCCAACACAGTAATCAGCGCATTATGTTCTGCAAGGAGATAAAAGCGAGTCTATTGTCCAAAGAGTGTACAGGATGAAGCCAAAAATAACCTGGTGATCGATCCGTGCTTGATTAAACAACCTTCCCATAACAATCCATCCGACGAGTGATCTGGTGCCTGGGTAGCTCGCCTGAGTCTGCTACCCCCATCGGGCTTTTGGCGGTTTAGACCGACTGGATGACAATTCGGAAGCTCTCGCCAACACGGCTGACTTCCACGGCCTTGGAGCTGGTTCCGGCGGACAGGGTCTCGGTCGCCACGACACCATCACCAGCGTAGACGGTGTACTTGAAGGTAAGGGTGCTGAAAGGGGCGCTGTGGTAGAAGGTGATCTTAAACTGGTCGTTGCCCAGGGGCTCTGCCTTGTACTGGAAGCTGGGCCCGCCGCCAATGACCGCCGTAGTGGGCCAAGGGACGACCCTCTCGAAATCCTCCCTGGCCATCAAGACTGCATGAATGGCTGCGTCTTCGACGACAGGGGCGGAGCGCGCGGTAACCACAGATGTGTCGGCGGCGGCAACGTCCCGTGCGGCAGCCGGCGCGACTGCGGCGGGGAGAGCGGCCGCGAGGGACGCGAAGCTGAGGAACATAGAGAGCTGCATGGTGATTGTAGATGATAGGATGGAAAGATTTGACTTGGAAAGTTCGTGTAGAAGATGATTTATTGCGTGAATGATAGAAACTACACGGCATCCCAAGGAGCTTCACTGCCTCGTTATATAGCTCGAGCATAGGAGATGTCTGGCTGACATCAACATCAACCACCGTGGCGTCATATGAAAGATTGGGAAGGTGGTTTGTTGGACAATATGGGCGCTCATTCGTAGATGCTCAAGATCTCCTGATTTAGATGGAACTTTGCCAACTCGTATCACGACCTCGCGGTTCAATGCTTCCTGTTCTTCGTTGCTACATTCCTGAAGCGGTACACACCCATACATACACCTACGTTGTTATGCTAACCGTCATATAAACGAGTGCAAGCCAAGACGGTGAAGACCATTCTTTGTCATTCTGCGGCTACAAATGGCGACATGATTGTTCGGGAAAGCCTCTCCTTGCGGAAGGAGCAAGCATATCCGGTGGGGAGGAGGGATGGTTCCAAGGTGACTGACTTATCTCCACCCCCACCTCCGTGCCGGCAGGCTTCCAGAGGGACGCTGCACGCTCGCGAGAATGAGCCTGCGTCGGCCCTGAACAGCCTCTAAAAAGCCATTTGCTTACTTATTTACTGCATTCAAAGACCTGACGCATGTATTTGGATGCAGAAAAGTAGGAATTCACCTCTTTATGGTGCAGGGATCGGTAACGTTCGATGCATTGAAGAAAGTCCCGAGCCTTCCCGCCAGTGTCCGTACAATCCGTCCGGAACAGCTTTGAGTTGAGAACCCAAAGCAAACAAGCCATCAATCTTCATTGAGCCCTATGGTGTTGTAACGAAGCTATGTTGACTATTTGACGTACATCGGCAAGCCTGTCTGGCTTACGGATGTATATGTAATGCGGCGTATTGATCATGTGGGGGAAATTTTAATCTAGTACATTCATGTACCATAGAGTGGCACTGTCTTTACCTTCCTCGTATGCCCCCCTGACCCTGTGAAGTGGAATCTCGCCTCATGATGCCAAGAATGTAGATTGTGATGTGCAAGACAGGCTCCTTTAGGCCATCGTACACTAATTGGTATTTTTGCCGCCGCAGGCTTCAAGTATCTCAAGGCGACAACGAATCTGCATTTGTATATCAATTCACGCTAGCTTTTGTCGCGTTTCCCTCTAATGGTGTTGACAGCAGCGTAGTTAGACAGCTACTGCCATGCCCCATGTCGCGCCGGAGACCGGTAGGTAGGCGTCAGTGTGGCCAGGTCGCTGCGGTAAAGAATGATAACGTTTCGTGCTGGCTATATCCAAATCACTCATAGTAGGATCGCATAGAGCATCATGTCTACCTGGTTTATGGCGACAGAACACCTGAGTGTGGCTATTAATGGGCAATCGGTGTTGTCTTCAAGCAAAGAGCAGCAAGTCATGCAAGCTTCAGGGGCCAAACAGGACTTCCGCGGTTGGTGTGGTAAGAATGGATATTCAGAGCTAAGCATTACCTAGGAACGTTAGTAATCTCATACGGGATTTTCAGTATTGCAGCCGTTGAGACAGTCCAATACTTCGTCAATCATAATTAAGTCCTCGATTGTGGACTTCTGTTCTTTTCAACTTCTTCTTGCGGGCTTCGGCAGCAACATACCATCTAAACATCCAATAGCATCGAACGATCGCTCGCTGCGGCATGTACATTGAACAGACTGCGTCAAGGATTGTATTAATTCCTGTCGTCAAGGCTCCGGGACTTCAAAGTACCCCGTGCGTGGCATGGTATTTTCAAATGAGTTCATCCGCGTTGACAAAAAAACTGCAGAAAACCTCGGG